AGCCAGAAGGTCTCCCCTGAGCCTCCTTTGCTCCAGGCTCAGCACCCCCAGCTCCCTCAGCTGCTCCTCACCACACTTGGGCTCTAGACCCTTTCCCAGCTTCATTGCCCTTCTCTGGTCTCACTCCAGCCCCTCAAGGTCCTTCTGGGAGTGGGGAGCCCAAAACTGAGCCCAGGATTTGAGGTGCATCCTCACCAGTGCCCAGTCCAGTGGGACAATCCCTGCCCTGCTCCTGCTGGCCACACTGGTGCTGAGCCAAGCCAGGATGCTGGTGGCTTTCTTGGCCCCCTGGGCATGCTTGCCAGGCCCCAGCCCTTCCAGCTTTGAGAACCAGCCCATCACCTGAACCCTTCTTGTCTTGTGGGCAGGGAGGTTTCTCTAACAGGGGTTTGAACTCCTTCTCTTGCAGTTCTGCTGATGGTTGCTGGCACTGAGCCGAGCTCAGCCCCTGCTGGCTCCCCCCTCGTTGTGTTTCCTGTCCCCAGTGGGTTCGTGTTGCCCCCCACGTGCTGAGTGAGTGGGGACACCTCTGTGGAGAGCCCAGCCCGGGGCTCACAGCTTGCAGGAGAGCTCCCTGCACACCCCCAGTCCTCCTTCTCTCATCTCGGTATCGTCGCTTCTTTTCTTCAGAACTAATATTAAACATTTTTGCCAGTTTCTGACTTTTTATTTGAGCTGTGTGTGTGCAGCCCTTTGGTTTTGAGGTGTGGAACTGCACAGGAGCTCGACAGGCTGGCAGTGGCCAGAGGGATGAGGACTGAATGCTGCCTGGACCTCCAGGGAGTGAGAAGCTGCTCATAGGTAGACCCGCAGAGCCTGAAGGTTTGTTCCTCAAGCCATGGAGCCCAACGTGCTGGGCAGGGTCCTGGGCTGGCTGGGAACCTGCTGGTGGGACACAGCTTTTGGGGGACAGGTCAGATCACAGAACCACAGAGTGGTTTGGGTTGGAAGGGAGCTTAGAGATAAGTGCAGCCATCCCAACAGCTTTGTAACAGGAAGATCATCGTTCTGCCACAGGCAGAGAGCTCTGAGGAGACCAGGCTGCTGCAAGCTACATCCAGCCTGGGCTTGAACACATCCAGTGGTGGAGCATCCACAGCTTCCCTGGGCGACCTCTGAACCCTCCTAGTGAAGAACTTCTTCCTCATTTCTAGTCTAGGCCTCCCCTCTTCCAGCCTGAAGCCATTGTTCTCATCCTATCACTGCTGCTGCTTTCCATCCTAGAATCCTTTAGGTTCAAAAAGACCTTTAAGATGGAGTCCAACCATCAGAACAGCTTTTGGCCTGAGATTTAAACCCCCCTTAGCCTTTAACGGGGGTGACACAGCATGGGGGGGACCCCAGTAAGGCCTCTGAGGGGCAGGCTGCCCAGGAGCAGCCCCCCGCGCGGGAGGAACGTTGGCAGTCCCACCTCCCGCAGCGTCGCCCTTCCCGAGCAAAACCAAAGCATTCCTCCTGGCTTTTCAGCACGCCAGCCAGCAGACACTGAGCAGAGCCCTGGGAGATGTTCAGAGAGGGCCCAGCAGCCACATGAAAGGGGCAGGGAACGTGCTCCCAGCCCCTTGGAGGGCCGTGCTCCGCCGGAGGCAGGGCCCCCACCGGCACCCTCGCTCGGGGCTTCCACTGCAGGGCTGCAGCCAAGTCTCCCAAGAAGGAAAAGATTGGAAGATGCTGACAGCTCGTCGAAGCCTCACGAGTGCTTGTGGCAAAGGGATGATTCAAGCCAGGCTCGGGAGGGAACAGTGTCCTCCCAGTCAGAGAAAAGCCTGGGGCTGCGAAAGCCACGCTGGCCAAGGCGCAGGGGCTCGTGCGCTGTGAACAGGAGCCAACAACTGGCCATGTTCTGTTGCCTTTCTTCTTGTGGTGCTGTCACAAGGGCAGATGAGCTTGGGGACAGTTTGGTGACAATCCTGGACTTGGGGGCAGAGTCCTGAGCAGAAAGAGCCCCTCTGAAATGAGGGGAAAGCGCCGCGTCTTGGGGCTTTTCGTGATGCTGCTTTCTGGGGTGACGCCAGGGAGGAAGCCACTGGGGGAAGAGGGGTCTCAGAAGTCAGGTTTTTGTTTATAAAGGGTTGAAAATTGGTAGGAACAGGACAGGAAGATGAGATGAGAGGGTGGCTGCAGGGTCTTCCCTGCGCTGAGACCTCTGTGGTGGCTGGAAAGGGACCAACCCCCCCTGCTCTGCTCTGGAACAGCTTCAGGGCTCCTCAGCCTCCAAACCTCAAGCTAAGTGGTATGATATGTACTTTTATGTTATAGATATATAAAATATATCCCCATATTATTTCCTCTATGCCCAGATCAACCCCAGCACCCAGCACAGAACCTCCCTGGGGGTGGGTGGGGAAGCTGGAGGGCTGTAGCCATGCAGGCTTGGCACTGCTGGGGGAAAACCTGCCAAAACAACCCAATTACAACAATACCCACATTCCTCAACAAATGAACTATCTCTGGGCTCTCTCAAAAATACATTTTCTTGAATTGTATTTCCAGCTTGGCCAACGCTGCTGAATTTCCTGACACAGATTTCCACACAGTCATGCCACTGAAAAAGGAAGGAAACAACCCCCCAAAAAAACAAAAAAGGCAAGAGAATTTTTTTGTTTAAAAAATATCTTCAGTAAAAAGAACCAGTGCTCCTTCTTTTTGATTTGAGAGGGAAGGAGAGAGGAGGAGGAGGATGGAAAAGGGCAGATAAATAGGAGATGAGGGGCTGGGGTGCCCTGGCCTTGGCAGGGGCTGCCAGCAGAAAGGGTTTAATTTGGGGTGCACCAGTAAATCCTACAAACCACACAGATGCTGTGACCTTCCTGGTGCCAGGCTGCTCCTGAGGGACCAGGGCTCCAGGAGTGGGCCAGCCAGGAGCCTTTGCTTTGAGAATCATGGAATGGTTCTGCTTGGGAGAGACCTTTGAGCTCATGGAGTCCAACCCTTCCCCAGCACTGCCAGGTCCCCACTGCCCCGTGTCCCTCACCCCACATCTCCACAGCTTGGAAACCCCTCCAGGGGTGGGGACTCCACCACTGCCCTGGGCAGCCTGGCACAGGTTTTAACAACCTTATTGCAGAAGAAATTCCTCCTCAAGTCCAATCTCAACCTCCCCTAGTGCAACCTGAGGCTGTTCCCTCTTGTCCTGTCCCTTGGGAGCAGAGCCCACCTGGCTCCAGGCTCCTGTCAGGAGCTGTGCAGAGCCAGAAGGTCTCCCCTGAGCCTCCTTTGCGCCAGGCTCAGCACCCCCAGCTCCCTCAGCTGCTCCTCCCCACACTTGGGCTCTAGGCTCAGTCTCCCCGGCACCCTGGTGCCTGTGGGTTTCTGCAGGGGGGGCAATAACACCCCCACCTGCACCTTCCCTTCCCTGAGGCCCATGAACAGGATGCTCAGGGTCTGGAGGGAGGAGTGTGGGGTCCTGGGGCTGGACCATCTGCAGTGGGGGGACTGGTGGAG